CCCCCCCCTTTTTTTCTTCGAATGAACCTAACAAGTAAAACAAGGACAAAACATAGTAGTTAAAATAAAAATAAAAATAAAATAAAATTTTACTAAAATTTTAGTTATGACAATATTTTCAAGCTTTGGCTTTGTTGATCAATTCCATGTCGTTATGCTCTTTCGCTTGATTAGTGTTTTTCTACTTTTGCTTCATATTGAGCAATTAAATTTCATGGACAATCTTTGTAAGATAGCTTTGATCAATGCCCATCAACATTTTAAAATAGGATTTGCATTTACCAATTTTGGAAGTTAAGTGGAGTTCTGATTGTTACTAGAACATGCACAGAAAGTTGGTTTTATTTAAGTGTTGCTTTACATGAAAAAATATGAATAGTGACTAGATTAAGTGGTTAAATTACATTGAAGACATGCACTTCCTAGATTATAAATGTATTGGGTAAACTTCAGGCAAGCAAAATATTGGGTGAGCTGAATAGATTATAAAATCAATCATCCAGTTAGTCAGCTATTGGTAAATCGAGATATCTCTTACTACTTGATCTTGCAGGACTTTTTCTGCAGTTGGTGTGGATCCTGCCATCATGGGTGTTGGCTCAATTATTGCAATTCCAGCTGCAGGTCTTGAACTTGATGATATTGATGTTTTGGAGATAAATGAGGTAATATCTATTACATCATTGTGCTTGATTAAACAGTTTGTTTTAAATGAGTTTCGACATTTGAGTTCTCAAACTTCATTGTTCCCTACAGGCATTTGCATCTCAGTTTGTGTATTGCCACAAGAAGCTGGATCTTGATCTAGAAAAGATTAATGTCAATAGAGGTGCAATGGCAATTGGGCATTTAGCCAAATGGAAAGATGACATAGTTTTCTTTGAATCATTCCAATTGGGTAGAGAGAATGTACAATCTCTTGCATCACTTGATATATTGCAATCTTTTTCTACATCTGAAGAAGTTTATGAATCTGTTGATATGAAAGTTGTATCATTTATTTTGTATTTTTTCACAAGTGAAACTTGAAAATAGTTAATATTTGGTGCATAAAGAAATTATTTCTAGCCATCAGAGATGGTTTTTTATTCTTATTTTTTCATTAAATTTGAAATATTTATATTTATTATTAAATATTTTCTATATAGCCTATTTATATTCTCCTGCATTCCAATCTTTAGTGTAATGTATTTTGCTATTTATTGTCTTATATTTCCAATGTGTTGGAAATTTACATTTATCTGTTGATTTCTGATTCTGTAGATTTATTTTCCCAATTCTTTTTTATAATCTATCCAATAAATATTGGTCATTTGAAGGGTTTATTCTGCATGCATATAATGTTATACCACTCTTTGATTTTTTGGTATCACAAAAAGAACATAGATTCTAATGGTTAAGATGTTTGATTTTATTAAAATGATAAATATGTGGTGCATGAAAAAATTATTTTTAACCATCAGGTGATGGTTTTTTTTGTTACTTATTTATTAAATTTGAAATATTCATATTTGTTATTGAATTTTTTTCTATATAGCCTATTTATAGTCTATTGCATTTCAATCTTTAATCTGATGCATTCTACTATTTATTGTTTTATATTTCCAATGCATTGAAAATTTACATTCATCTGCTGATTTTGATTTCTATTTCTAATTTTGTAGACTTTATTTCTCCAATTCTTTTTGATAGTTTGTCCAATAAATATTGGTCATTTGAAGGGTCTTTTCTGCATGCATATATAATGCTATACCAGTCCTTTTTTTTAGTATCAAAGAAAGAATATAGATTCTAATGGCTAATATGTTTGATTTTATTAAGGATCTTAATCCTTCTAAAAAGCAATACAGGATAAAGGTTAGAGTAATTAGGTTTTTGAAGCAAAAGAATTTTTGATAGCCAAAACTGGGTGATAAAATTGAAATGCTTTTTTTGGATGAATAGGTAAGAATTTTGTGTTTTTGAAATTGGTTTTTAATTGAATATTCTAAAGTTTACTTTTCATGATCCCTTACTTCTATCACTTTTTTATGTTTTGTTCAGGGAGGAGGAATCAGGCAACTCTTAGGGTTTCTTTGTGTTTAAAGGATGCTTTTACTAAAGGAGAAGTTTATACAATTTCAAATTTTGGTGTTTCTTTGAATGAAGATCCGTATAAGCCAACCACACATAAATGCAAGATTGTTTTTAATTCTAGAACTGCTCACAATTTGCTTAATGATTCTATCATCCCTTATTATGCATTTTCTTTCGTTGAGTTTGATTGAGTTTGATAAGATTTTAAACCAAACTCAAGAAAATGTTTTTTTTAGTCGATATATTTATTATAGAATAATTTCATTATATTTTTATTTGTCTTAATTTATTCCATTGAACTGTTGGTTTAATTTGGTTTATACATTAAGTGATTTGCTTCTTTGCAGATGTTATTGGGTTGTTGTTAGTGGTAATTGAGCAAAAAGAAGTGACAAAAAATGGTTCTTCATTGAATATGATTTCATTTGAACTTGATGATTTAAGGTATTTTTCATTTGAATATTTCTTTTTTTTTATTATTAATTTCCTGTTATATTTCTTTCAATTTATTTATTTTCCTTCCTTCTTTTAAACAGTGGTAATAAACTTTGTTGTACCATTTGGGAAAATTTTGCTGTTGAAATGTGTTCGGTTATTGACAAAAACTCCAATGAATATGTTATCTTCGTCATTCAATTTGCAAAGATGAAATCATGAAGAGGTTTTACTCTACGTTTTTAATTATCAATTTTAGTATTTTTTTAGATTTTATTTTTAAAGTTTTATACAATTTTTTTGGTGGTTTATTTAGATCTGATGGAGATTTCCAACACCATGTTCAATATAAGGATCTTTATAAATAACTATGATATTCTTGAAGTTTTGGCATTTAAGGAGAGGTAATGTTATTGTTTTTAGTAGTTTTTTTTTTTAAATTTTTTGTCATGCATCAACATTTTTATCTTTACTTAAGTTTAATATTTGTAGGATTCTTGCTTTAACTTTGGAATTTTTCTCTCAAATTCTGTTTAATTTTTCTCCATTGGCTTGTGTAATGGAATAAGATTACTAATCACAAGCCTTGAAAATCATGTTGTGGAAG